TGTAGAGATTAGTTCTTCCATGAGCTAGGATTTGCATGACAAGTACACCTAATCCATCTCCTAGGATAACCATGAAACCCAGAGGTCATTCATCCATTATATCCCAAATCCTTTCCCTCTCCTTCGGTTCGTGAGTCGTGCTTTTATTAACTAGATATAAACGAAAGAAATGAAGTGCATGATTTAGTTAATAAATCCACGAAAAGAACACCGAAGAGACCCAGTTTTCAAGGTATAACTAATATTTAGTGGTATCTTCTAGTGATAGAAATAGGTCCTAGGATGGCATTATATCTTAGTTGTAATAGACTTCTCATAGGATACAACCTGTAAGCCACCATGATTTATCAACTATATCTTCTCCTCAGGTTACCATTTTTATCATAGGTTACCATATCACTAGGAAATACACCCAATAATATCTGAGATAATATCCCAAGTCATTTCCCCACTGCCGCTCTCTGGAATGATTGAGAAGTGAAAGAAGTGAACGAAATAAAGCAAAGAAATGAAAGGAATGCGTGTTTATTTCGTTCATCTTTTTCGCTTCACATTAATTCTTTAGTACGCCCATGATATAGTGAGTCTTTTGTGACTGTTGAATGAAGAGAAAAGGGTTCAGTTGTAATGGAACGAGAGAAGCGAAGAGGAAGCACGAACGAACCCTTATTTCTCCTCCAAATCAACACAACAAAAGAGAAACAGTGGATGAGGAGCGTATTTCTTTGTTTATTTTATTCACGCTTCATTCCGCTCACTCTTTTCGCTCACATTGCATTGCAATGAAACAACAACACATCCTTGTTTGTGTTCGTTCCCTTCACCACGCAACACACAAATGAAATAAAGTGTAGTGCGCGGTGTGTGTTTAAAGGGAAAGAAAAAAGGGGAACAAAGGAAACAAGTCCAAGGCTGTGGCCAACACAGACAAACCGTAGATACATGAGGGGGGCGTGGCATATATATATATATATGTATATATATATATATATGAGGAAGAGCTGGAGATGCCACACAGTGACTCTCGGTCAGCAGAGGCCAGCGGAGCCGCTCCTGATGCTGGTTCCGACGCTGCTCGGCTAGTGCCAGATTTCACACTTCTAGTATCTTGCAGTTATCAGATGTTGTGATGTATTTTCTAAAGTACTACGGCATAGTAATTTGTGCTATAATACTTTGCTATGTACGAGTACATGCATGTATATACCATTACATACCATCAAAAGCTTTTTCTGCTTGGCGGGCCTTGCAAACCAAGACATGCAGGATGGCACTGAGCCAGCGGGAGACCCAGCAAGGATTGCTTTCGTCATTTCAGCAGGGTTTAGGATGCAGGGTACTGCAGTGACTTCGTCAAACCGCGTCTCCAGGCGAAGCTGGCCTTCGCGCGAGGGCACAAGGCTCCGGCAAACTCTGGCCTCGGACTTTGGTGAGGCCTCGGTGTGAAAGCCAGGACCTTGCGCAGAAGCTGAAAGACGCAACCCCTAAGCCGGAGCGACGTTCAGGCCGCAGGAAGCTTACTCACTCGCACGAGACCTGTTTGTGTAGGCTTAGTCCATTCCGTGTTCCGACTTTGTAAATGCCGGAGAGGGATAAGCTTGTTGCCCCAGTCTCTGCCTCTTCAACAGCCACATGGATTCAGAGCACGACATGATGTTATCAATTTCCGAGGCAAATCGTTGGGCCCAGTCCACGAAGAGTTCTGACACCAAGCGGTTCATTCGCCTGCGTGTCTCGAGAAAAGCTCTTTCTAGAAAGAGCGTGATGTGGTTGTGCGCAGCTGTGCAATATCGTGCAATCAGGTGTATTCAGACGCAGATGCGAGGGTTAAAATATGTTCAAGTAGCGGCTTGAAATTCAGAATTGTCCCGCAGCCGTCAGCACTTAGTGGGGAGGAGGGAGGAGGCTGCTGCGTGGTGTCGCTAAGGGCCGAAAGCCGCAAGGTTCTCGGCAATCGTCAGATTCAGTGGGCGAGCAGGTAGCAACAGAGTCTTGGGCATCGTTGCTGAGGGCCCGCCATGGTATCGGCGAAGAACGTCGTGTTGGATGCTTGGTGCAGAGCGCCTGCAGGGCAAGTGCTCGGAGTCAGCGGGTCCTTTCGGACTGGCACGTCAGGCCGTTTACGGGCTGCTACAAGAAACGAAGCCATCGATTGCTTCCCAGGCCTCTCCCGGATCAGCTTTGAAAGTGCGGTTAGTGCGGTTCGGGTGGGCACAATCAGAACCCTGGCAGGTTCCAGCAGCTGGAGATCTCTTATGATTTTCCGAAATTTCCACAAATTATGGCCAAGAGGATCGTGGCATGGCGCCCAGACATGTGGAGGTTGCACAGTTTCGCGAAGAAGTGGCAGTCTGCGCAAGGGTGTCGAAGATTTTCGAAGCACTGTGGCCATGTCTGGGCTGCAGCAATGGCATCAGTCGTAAATTCGCATGTCCTCCTGATCGGACGTCAGGCTGTTTCACGACTGCAGCTTGATGCGCACCGTCAGATACGAAGGAGACACCAAGCGACCGACACCCTGCAGCACTTTAGTTTTCAAACAAACGGCCACGAGCAGGTATAGCATAGTGCTCCAAGAGCAATGGCGCTGCCGTTCGGGACAGCTTTTGGACTGCCTTTACAGAGGCTTTTGTGATGATGCGCTATGGATGCTGCGCATCACAGACTCAACGAGAGTGAAGCAGCGCCTGCCACCGACCCAAATGCCCAAGCAGTGGATGCACTGGGTCACAGGCATCTCACCTACACGAACGGTGTTTTGCTGTGCTTTTTACTACTTGCAGTGTGCCATGAGAGTTTTTGCTGAAGACTGAGCTGTCCCTGAGCAGGACCCAAGTGGTCGCAGGCTTTTGGAGGCTTTGCCTTCGAAGACTCCGCCCTTCGGAACCGGTGCCAGGGCAAGGAGCTGAAAGCTTAGAAACCTTCTTGTGGCCAAGACAGCCACCTCTGACAATCAGCCAATGTGCGACGTCTTTATCTGTATTTATGTGCATAAACGAATAAATAATAGATGCATAAATGTCTATACATACATATATATATATATATATGTATGTATGTGTACGTACAGACACTTATGCATACACATATGCATACACATATGCATACACACTCGCACATATGTACATCCACACATCTGCCCCCTAAAGGATCGAAGCTCCTCGACAGAGCAGTGCAGCAGCTCTTCGAAGGCCTCAGAGCCCTAAAGCCTAAACCCTAAGCCCCAGTCATATTCGAGGCTCTCTACTGTTCGTGACCTGTCGCGAGGTGGAAAAAGGCCCTCAAAAAAACCCAGTCATATAGATCCTCGCCTGGCTTGTCCGAGTTGTGAGAGTGTAAACCCCAGTTGTGAGTGCTGAAACCCACCCCTGGCCTTCGCAGATTGCGACTTCGGGTTTGGGGGTTTCGGATACTCAGAGCCCAGCTGCAAAAGCGGGCTTAGGGTTAAGGGATTGCGGAAGGCTTGGTCCGGGAAGCCTCGGAAAAGCAGAGGCAGCGAGCAGCCCTGGGCATTCAGGCAGTGGAGCTGGAAGTGCTGCATGTGTTAAGATCACACATATGTGTATATTTGTATATATATATATGTATATTTTTACTATATCTACTCATGTATCCTAGTACAAAAGAGTTTCCAGAGCCTAGTCTGATATTAGTTATGTTTTGAAAATATGCGTTGTGTTCCATGACAGGCGACCGGCGCCAAGGCCAACCGGGAGGCCCTCTACTTGGATCCGACACACCGTGATCGATGGGAGAAGTTGTCTCGCAGCTTCCTGGAGAGGGCTTCGGAAAGGATGCAGGCTTGGCGGCTGCATGTTTGGTAGGGCATAGGGCATTGGGCAGGTGTTCTGTCGCGAGAATGTGTCGGTTGTCGGAATCCTCTTCGCAGTGTCCTGTCACTACACTCACTCACACCTCTTCAAGGGCTTTTCTCTAGGAACTGTTGCTTGGGATCTGTGGCTTCACGGCTCTGCCGCGAGAAGTTACAGGCTCCCCGCCGGCGTGGCACCGGAGGCAGCACCAGCTGTGACAATGAGTTTGACACGTGTGGATGCACGCAACGCCTGTCTGCGGCCGCATGCGCAGGCGACGACGGTCAGGCATGGTTCTTGCAGGCCCAAAAATGAGCAAACGACCCCGCAAATGCTTTGGCCAACTTCGGCCTGGGAAGGCCCTGGTGCCAGCCCTTTTTGCGCCAAAAAGAGGCGGCCATGAGACCATACTGGCTCACTTTAAGACATGACGGCCTAGTTTGCTGCCAGAAGCCAGACCTTCGACCAGTTTTGTGGTCCCTAGACCCTAAACCTAAATCCTAAACCCTAAACCCTAAACCCTAAACCCTAAACCCTTAACCCTAAACCCTAAACCCTAAACCCTAAACCCTAAACCCCTAACCCTTTGGAGCTCGAAGAGGCGGTGGCAAAAAGTAGCCGGTGATCAGCTCATTTGCACAGCCCTCCCAGGGCTTTCCGTTCATCGCCGTCTCTTCGTCGACGGGTCCAGTGAAACTAATCTTGCCACTACGACGACGACTACCAACACTGTCATTAGCTTGATGATTGTTTAGACTATCATGGTGATGTTCATCACCGAACAAAATAAATACATCATAACAGTAGCAGTTTCTACTAATATTGTGGTTTTTAAAGGCTGACGGTCCAACTTCAAGAAGCGAACCAGGCAGGTGACGCTCTGGATGTTTGCGAACTTCGTCGCCTCGCAGCTTTGCAACATTTCCTAGAGGCGGGGCACGTGGGTTTGGAGTGTAGGGATTATAGGGTTTTGGGTTTAGGGTATGGGGGGGGGTACTAGTAGGGTTTAAGCTTTAGGGGCACCAAACTGTAAAGCGCACAGGCCCTACACCCAAAAATGGCCATAAACCCTCTAACCTACAAAATCCTCTAAACCGCAAGTCCTTTAAATCCTAAACTCGATAAGTTCACATGCATCTGAACCCTCAGCCCTAGTCCTAGCTAGTACTAGGGAGACCTCCTACAGGGGGATCCTTCTTAACCCTACCTTGGCTCTCTTAACAGGGGCCTTATTGAGAGGGCCCATATCCCCAAGGGTTCCCCCAATCATAATCCTAACCGCAAACCCTAAACCCTAAACCCTAAACCCTAAACCCTAAACCCTAAACCCTAACCCCTAAACCCTCAAAGCCTGAGGTCGATGTTGCCGACTTGTACCTGCCTGCGCAGCAGAGGTGCAGCGATGACGCCTACTTGCCAGAGCCGCTTTGCGACGTCTGCGTGCAATTCCTGATGGATGTCACGTGCCCTAGCAGTGAGGATGAGAAAGCTGGGAGGGATCTTCTTGAGGGTTCCGGGTTTAGGGTTTAGGGTTTAGGGTTTACGGCAGGAAGGACAGAAGGTCATGTACTGATAGATCCCCAGTGTGGTAAGTTGAATAGACAGATGGAGGCGTGGAGTCTATGTGGTTAAAGGCAGCCGCTACGACTTTGAGGTCGCGTTGGCAGAGTCCGGACTGGATATCGAGAAGCAAAGCTTGGAGGTCGAAAACCTCAAAGAAGTCTTCTCTTCCAAGGTGGGTAGTCGTCAAAATTATGGCCCCTTTTGGGGTACCCTAAATAGTTGGTGCCGTATTATAATAAGGACCCAAAAAGGGACCATAATTTTGACAACCACCCAGGTGGCTGCGGATGTCCGGCGTCATCTCACGGAGTCCGATGCCGGGCACATGGCACGAAGGGGTGCAAACCAGCTCGTGCAGGCAGTGACGGCCCTGCTGACGCAGTCAGGCTTGGCAAACATTGAACGAGCCTGCGGGGACCACGTTATCGTCAGCGGCGGTGACCAAGAGCTTTACTTCGAGCTGAAGCAGGGGCCACCAAGATGCTGGGATCTCGTCCTCTCTTGCAAGAAGACGAACTTCACCAGCTTCATGCTCAACTCGCGGAGCGACGCAATGGAGGTTCTGGCCTGTTCTCCCTGCTCCCGCATCGAAAGGCAGGAAAGCGCAAGTCAGGGGAGCCTGAATAGCCTCGCATAACAGACCTCAGGGTTGCAGGGGCCGCTTGGATTCCGGTCCCAGGGGGTTCCAGAGGAAGCAGGGAGAAGTGTATGAAGTTGGGGGTTCGAGTTGGATTCCTGCCTCGGTCCGTTTCTAAAGAAGATGGCTTTATTTCCATGTGCTGCTGATTCCTGAAAGACGTGGTTTTCAGCAGTGGTGAACAAATACGGGATAGGGTGTCCGCAATGCTGAGCAGCAATCAGCCTCGACTCTGTTGCAGGTTTGCTGTCATACGCCTCATGGCGCAATTGCAGTCGCTCTCTGTGGAGGCGCCTCTCTCGTGGCATCGTTAGCTGTGCCAGTGCAGGCTTCTCCCCTTGTCTTTTGTTCCCACTACTTTCACCCTCGCTCTATGTCAGCTTCGTCTCGGGGCTTTTTCCTCCCTGCACCTCTCTGCCATTGGGGTCCCGGGTCCCGTCGACCTGTCCTGCAGCCTCCAGTAGCTGCGCATGTCCGGATCAAACGCTAACCCTGAACCCTAAACCCTAAATCCTAAACCCTGGACCCTAAGCAACAAGGGTTTCATTGCTTCCTGGCCGGAGGTGCTGGAATTCCGTTCCGAGGTGGAGCTCCAGAACGAATTGGGTCTGCCAATCTCACTGCCGCGCCCAGAGACAGAGGTTGGAGTCAGATGAACTTGCAATCGGTGTACAGAGACTGCCAAACTGCAACTCTTGTCGGGTTCAGGTTCCCCGAAATCGCGAAATTCTGCTTGCCCTGGCTTCGCGGACATTCCACCACATCTGGACCCGGTCCTGCATGCCAGCTGCTTCTTTGTTAGCATGCTACCTGCTGGCATAGCCCTAAACCCTAGTCCGAAACCATCGTGACTTAGTTGATTTGGAGCCACATGTGCCTCTCTCTGCGATCCATGGACCAACCTCGCCGGCATTGCCCGAGTTGCGAGAGTCTAAACCCTAAACCCTAAACTCCTAAACCTTGAACCCTATACCCTAAACTCCAAAAAAATACCCTAAACTCCAAAACCCTAAACCCTGCAGGAGCTTGCCGGCGCGCTGCGCCATGCGTTGTGCCTCCACTGCGCGATGGGCGCACGCAGGTCATGGAGTCCCGGAACTACCCTAAACCCTAAACCCTAAAGCCCAAACCGTAAACCCTAAACCCTAAACCACTGTACCGTGCTATACCGTACTTTACCATACCATACCTTTAGTATACCCCTGTCCTAGCCTATGCTACACCATGTCCGCTTGACTTGCTATGTAGTGCCTACGGATGCCTTTGCTCGGAGCCCAATGCTTCGCAAAAACATTATCATGAGCTTATGGAGATTCTTGATGCGAAGTACAAATACTCACCCAAGATTGTTCTTGGAGACTTCAACGCTAGGATCATAAAAGCTTTACCATATGAGCGGGATGCTATCGGCCCATACACCCTCGGTGCATCGGATGGTTCGCTAGATAGTCTCAGTGAGGCGCAGTTTCAAAATCGATTGAACTTTGCGGAGTTTTGTCTCACTAACGATTTAAGCGTCCGAAATAGTTTTTATCAGAAGCCGGAAGAACAGCTAGTTACTTACAAAAGCGTTGGAGTAAAAGATTGGAAGGCCCCATGGCACTTACACAAATATGCGCAGATGGATTACATACTTATCAACAACGAATGGAAAACGCGATCACGAATGTCTCCACAACTTATGTCCATACGGTGGAAACAGATCATAAGCTCATGATGGCGAACGTGAAATTCAAGTTAATGGCTCACAATACAACAAAGCCGCCCAACATTCCGCAATTCCGTACCCCTTCACCACAAGAACTAACCATTTTCAATGACCAGATTAGATATCGTGCGAGCTCCCAAGACATTCTCAGCAACCGTGAAACTACTGTTATGGAACAACTAAATGAAATCATTAAGACAAGTTCCGAAGCTTTGCCTAGGAAGCAGCCCG